AAAGCACTTCAGCAAGTGAAATGTGATGAAAGGCTTGCAGAATGAAAAAGCTGCAATTTTTCCAATTATACTGTCATTCCAATAAAAAGATTTTATTACTCTTAATGTGTCTTACTTAAATATTTTGGGTGTTGTCTGGACAGCGTAATAAAAGTGTGTTATTAATATGGTTAGAATTAGTGTGTCAGAGGGGAAAAGATATGTAATCTTAAATCATAGAGGTTTGGGATTTTTGCTTGGTTTTGATGGGAGGAGCTGACAGAAGCCTTTGATACTATGCAAAGAGATAGGGAGATGGTATTTAGCTGATACCAAAGTTGTGCATGGTAAAGCAAGGAAGCATTTGGTTCTCAATGTTGCAGTAAGAGGAGTGATTATAGAGAAATCATGTGTAAGATATGTGTAAGATAGTTGTCTTTTATTCAGTTAATTTTCCAGGTTTTTCCTTGGTCAGCAAAGGGAAAGATAATGTTGAATTCCAAAATGTATGTTGCAGTAGTTAATTGCCTGGATAAGGTTTTTTAAGAGTTAAAAGCTATTCTTATATCCTGTCTTGTATTTCTACTGTTGAAGCTTTTAGAAAATACTTACATTTAATAGAAACCTTTGCAGTTTTACAATGTCTTGAGGTGAAGTTGTGATAGTGCACTTTGAACTTTTTCTCAGCATGGGAAATATTCTTATGGTAAAATAGATTTTTTAAAATTGCCTTTTTAAATTGTCTGTAGTTGTTTCAGGGAAATGGGAGGATGCCTCGATTTGTTTCCTCTCTGACATTACTACCATGGTTAAGGTAGGAGAGCCCATCGAGATAACTGATGGTGCTTGTGATGTAGAGTTTCTGTTTATTGCCCAATATGAAGTTGAACATCAGTTTTAACTGAGAGTACATATCTGCCTGCACATCTTGCTGTACTGGTTAAATATGGAATTATCTTAAGTGCTCATCATTTACAAAAAGCTGATGTAGCACAACCATTCCTGGAGTTCTGCGAAATAAGTAGTTTGAATGGGCTTGTATCTGGTCCAGGCAAAATCAATTGAGCTAATTAAAACTGCTGAAAGGAACCTGACTGACCTTTGATGAAATGAGCTGGGAGCCCTCAGTTATGTGCTGTAAGGCAGAAGCAGGTTAGTGCAGGAACGGGGACATTTTGACTCAGTGCGGTTCCTTGTGGCGAGAGCAGCTTGTGCATACTTATAAACTGATCTGCACAGGATAGAAATATTGCTTCTTTCCAGGGGAAAGACAGCCCTTCCCCAACTTTTGCTTGTTCTTAGCAATGCACAAATATTTATAGGAGGCAAACCAGTGAGTCATTAGAGATGTTCTTTGTACAGTGTCTCCTTAAACTGGAGGTGGTGGTGTGCTGGAATGTGGAGATATCTTTGTGGCAGTTTCTTTCCTCAGTCTGATTCTTTTGAAAGCATCTTAGTCTGCTTGTATTTTCCATTCTAGAGGTTTACAAAAAAAATGTTTATACTACAGCTTCAAACATCTACTGAAATCCTAGAAAACCTAAAAAATTTCTGTGGATTCCTTATATTAAGATCAGATGTGGGAATGTCACATTGAATATCTACTGTACAAAACTCAGATGATTTTAATGGAAAATAAGAATCTGAAATGGTATGTGCCTAGTGGCAAAATAAAAAAGCAGAGGAAAGTGAATGGACAGAATTATATAATGGGTCTGAATTACACCTCAGTGGTTACAAGTCCATTTCTCTGCTGTGCTGACAGAGAAAGTAATTGCTGTACTTACGTCTTTTTCAATGATGTGAAACTAGTTTTTACAGCAAAGTGCAGTATTTGAGAGAGCCTGCAACGTGAACAACACAGTAATCCAGCTAATTGAAATGTCTTGTGAGCTGAGGCAGTTTCAGCTGCAGGGCAATTTGAAAAAACCCAGTTTTTAAAGTGTCTAACAACACTTTAAACATTTTTAATTTTTTCAATAATAGTGTATCAACCCTCACCCACAAAGTGAAATGTGGTTTTCTTGATTTTTATTCCTCTAAAAATTAGCTAAGAAGATAAATGGCAATAATATAGTAATTAAAAACTGAAGATGAAGTGCATAAGCAGGATATTTCAATAAGAGCTTATTTCATCATGAGTCAAAACTAGTGGATTTCCTTTTAAGGCTAATGGTTATTGAAGCAAAACTTAATAACTTCCTAAAAGGCAGTAAAAGGTTTAAATGATGTAGTTGTTAGCATGTTGGTTTGTGCTTAGCCTGCATTTTGTAAACATTGTGTGAATTGGTGTGTCTGCTTGTTTGGAAGGGGAACACAACCCTTGTGTTTGGGAAACCACGGCCTCTGACAGTGACTATGAGTCTGCTTTGGGGCAGAAAGGCATTGGCAGCCCTGGCCAGATGTGCTGTGCCAGCCGTGGATGGTGACTGCCAACCTGCACTCGTGATTCCTCCACCTCATCTCTTACAAGTCATAAAAAGCCTGGTGCTTCTGTGGTTCTCACCACTCAAACTTTTGCTGACCTCAGCTGGTGGGACACCTGCTGCAGTGAAGGGAACTGGAGTGGGGAACAAGCCCCCATAGCCTTTGAAACAGAATTAGATTTACATAAACTGTTTAACAGACTGTTCTGTGCTTGGGAAGAAGGCCTTTAACCTTGGAAGTATGGATTATTTGGGGTGGTTAAATACCTTTCAATGGTACTGATTTGCAGACTTTGGTGGTCTTGGACCTTCCCAAGAAGAAAGGAAAGGGTGGGAATGGACATTGCTGGCAAATCCCAACTGTTTAGTTTAAAATTATATGGCTAGAACTTTCATACCAGATTTTGTTCCTGTTGAAAATTGCTAAAAGAATGGTTAGTAGCAGATGATCTTATATTAAAAGAGAGAAGAACATTCTTCCTTACAGATGTAATTATATTCAGAGAAAAATATTTCTGTTGACCACTCATTGTCTTTGGAAATCTTCTGAGAACCATGTATCTGAAGGAGAGGATTTCCGGGGAAAGGTACACTTACCTACTTAGTCACTACTAAGACTTTTCCTACAATATTGGTATTTGAGCTTCATTTTTCTCCTTAAGGAATGTTTTCCCTTGAAAATGCAAAGTTGTTTCCATTCTCTGTCATGACAACTTGGAGACCGAAAACCAATCTGAAAATGTTTCTGTTTTTCTAACACAGTATCATTCTTCATCTGCATGACACTATTTAAAATTTACATGATAACTTCTGTGTACCTCCCAGTTCTTTATGAACAAGGCTGACTTTGTAAGAGGCAAAGATGACTCCATTTCTTGTTGTGGTAGGGCCTTATTATTTTGTTATTGTGTCACTTCATAATGGCTTAATATGAATGTGGGATAAATTAGGACATAATTGTATGCCATAAAAATTTTTAAGTTTTACAGTTTCTAAAAGGTAGAGGATGTTGATTTAAAGATCATTCCCTAGAATGTGCCTTGGCAGTGTTTTTTAAATGCTTTGTTACAAATGGACCCTAAAGAATTACATTAAATATTTGTAATTATTTTATAAGAAAAGACTCATTGAAAGTGTTTTTGAATGTGTAATGATTTAGCCATAGTAACCTTCTAAGTGTGCCTTAGTGATAGGAGCAGGTCTGCATGAGTTACATTGAAAGGTTGGTTAGAAGTAGACCAGTGAAATTGCATTAGTGTTGCTGTCATGAGCACTGCTGTGGAGAGTTTAAATGGCTTTTATTCAGGTTCACTTGTGGAAACATATCCCTTTCTGGTGTGCCAGTTTTCAACACGTGTATCACCAGAGTGTTTGCTGTGGAGGAGCTGGAGTTAGTTTTTGATATACTAGTGCTGTTTTCAGCTAGCAAATAACACTGGCTTTATTTTTAAAGATACTGTATTCCAGCACTCTCATTATATATTTTTGACTAGTTTGGTGTCCTTTGTGTAAGGTGAGGACAGAGATTGTCAGTACCTGAGCCTCAGAATACTGACTTAGTTTTTACTGCATTAGAAATGTCAACTGAAATAATTTGACATTCATCTTTGTTCTCTGCTAGTCCTGTTCTCTGTTTCTCAAGGTACTGTACATCAATCTAGAAGCTTTTTGGTCTCTTAAATGGGTTATTTCCCTGATTATTGTGTTTCTGTACAAGGTTTCACACATCTCTTATTCTGATGTAGAGTGCTGGCAAACAGCTTGTGATGTCATGATCGGAGGTTTTGGGTTTTTTTTTTTTTAGCTTTGTCTGCATTAAGTTGCTGTTCTAACATAGCTGACTTAGCCCAAAGCTGGCCTTAACGTGGCTTTGAGCTAGGACAGAGGCTGTAATACTGATTATTTATATTTTTATTTACTTGCCTACTCACTTTTACTGCTGTCTGGCCTGACAGCAATCAGTGCTTTAGAAACTTAATCCTCTCAAAGCAAGTATTTCAGCAAATCTAGTATGAAACATTTGTGCTGAAGGGTCAAAACGTTACATATGTGTGTAAAACTGTGAGTACTTAATGACTGTCCAAGTCATTAAAAAAATACTGATTTTCAATGGTAAATTTTCAAAGAAAAAATGAAAACCAAGAGGGCCAAAATTAAAATGGGTGATTGAGACTGACACTTCAACCTCAGCAGGTGCCACTATGTCAAAAAAGATCAGTTGTTGAGTGAAGAGTACAACTAACTTTTTTTTTTCTTTTCTGGATTTCCTGAAAATCTCTTGTGTAAAGGTAATACAGTTGCACATGGCAGACAGGGTTGAAGAATCATTCCAGTGAAAGAAAGTTCAGGTGTAGCCCAAACTCCTGCTCACAGCAGGATTAGCACTGAACTTGCCCAGATCATGTTTTGACTATCTTACTTTTGTCAGGAAGAAAAAGCTGTTTTAGTTGGAAAGAAAAGCATTTAAACATTTAATTAGACTTTCCTGAAATATGAAATTAATATTTGAAGATATTCACTGATGCATGAATTTTGTGAAATATATGAAGCAACATACAAGGACTATAACTAATAACCAAATATTTTTCATTTTAGAGCCTTGATGAGTATGAAGATGATGAAGCAGGGCAGAAGGAACGAAAGAAAGAGGATGCTATTACTCAGCAGAACACGGTACAAAATGAGAGTTCCAGTGCAGATACCTCTTGCTCATACTTACTGCAGGTGAGATCTTAACGTTGTTCGTTTTAGTATTTTACTCCAATTTAAAACTCGTACTGCGTTCTTCTTTGCATTTCTAAACAGTAGATTATACCTTACATGAAAAAAACCCTAAAGTTCAGGAGTTGACACATTACTGGAAACAGATATGAGGTTCCATTCCACAAACTTAATACTACTGAGATGAAGATTCTGACAACAGAATCTTCTGTTTCTGTAGAGGTCTTGAAGGAAATAGTTTTAATGTTCATCATAGAACTTACTGTTTAGTGGGGGGAAGAGAAACTGGGAGATTCAAGTGAAAAATACTGACAGACATAGAATATTCAATTAATTGGAGGTAGCCTCCTAAATCAGGACACATTTTCCTAATTTATTTTGTTTATTGACTTCTAATTAATGATTCTAGGATTGAAACCAACACTCAGACTCCTAGGGTAAACAGCCCTTTCCTCTGTGAAACCTTTTCTCCCTTTTTATTGCTTTCCAATCCCCTGACCACACTGATTCCTGCAGTCCCCTCCCCCTGACATCAAAACATTACCAGTTATGCCTGGTACACCCCTCCTTCATACTACACCACCTGTGGCAAATGTTCTGTCACTTTCCTGAGTGTCCTGAGTCTCTTTAGCCAGTCTTGTTTCTCCTTCTGTTATCTAACAGCATATACAAACCCAGCTGTACCAACTGAGGCCATCCAGCTCTGCCTGTTGACTCCAACAGAGGCAACAGCACATGCACAGTGAGAAAAAAATGCAAACAAACCATGGTGGTCATGGGTAGTTTTGTAACCATCCATAACTAGAGGTGGCATGGCTGGATTGGTGAATCTGGATGCATTTTCCTTCTGAAATTTGGCCTAGTCTTTCATCTGCTCGTGGATGCCTTTAATGTTAAGAGCCTGGGGCAGAGAAGTCTACAGCTTAATTACCTGGAATGTCAAGATTAGTCTCCTTTTGTTAAAGTTGAATCTGTCATTTTCCACGTTTCCGAGTGATTTCAGCAAGGTCTCCCAGTGGAAGACACGGGGAACAACTGCTTCCTTGTTATGTGACTGAATGCTGCAAAGAGAGGATGGCTCCTCTCCCTGTTCCCTAGGCTGAATAATTATATTTTACTTGGCTGTTCCTCATACAGGAGTTACTCAATAACATTCTCTACTTTCCGCTTTGACTCTGTTTTGTTTGGTACCCAAAAACAGAACCAATGAAACATTCAGTATAACATGCAGTCAGAGTGGTTTAGTGGTGGGGTTTGTTTTGTTCTCTGTTTCTTTCCTAATAATTCCTGATGCCTATTTGTCTCCTGAGCCCTGAATTTACTGTTTATGTTGTGAATGTCTAATCTAATTTAACATTTTTCAAGTTATCTGTAAGTGAGAATAACCAGCTCAGAGGTCAATGCCTATGTAAATTTAGAAACATGTTCACCTTTCATTTCACTTATGTACACTATACTTATGTACATTGAATTTAATCTCCTGTTCCACCTCCCAGTCACTCCCAATAAAGGAGTCATGCATGTTTTAACAGTTGATCTGTATCTTTTCTCTTCTGAGTAGCATCTGTGGACATCTCCTCCCCAAACACATTGAAAAGTCCAGGTTCCTGCACAGGTTCCTGTGACACTGTTCTGGTTGTTCCATCTACTGTGAAAGCTGACTATCGGGTCCACCGTTATTTCCTGCCTTTTCACCAGTGGACATTCTCTTTTATTCTAAGAGGAGATTACTTTCTTGAGTAGGCTTTGGGGAGTGCCTTTGAAATGCAGTATGCTGTCAATCAAATTTCTGTCCTGGACATGTTTTTATAACTTAAAAAAGCTGTATTAGATTTGAGATGTGCAACTATTCTACAAATGCCCTGGTGACTCTTCCAAATGGTATCATATTTACTTACTTACTCCTTAATTGTTCTAGACTTACAAGCAACACTTTATTCTGTTTAAATATCATGTTTACTCCTCTATAGTTCTGTGTTTGTTTAAGAATCTTCTTGAGGATGATGTTTATGTTACCCTGTGGTACTAGGGCAGTTTTAAATGAGAAGTTCCATTTAATCTTGACTAGTTCAGCTATTATATTTTTCAGTAACATCAATAGTTTCTTCAAAGCTCAAGGAATAAATAGCTGCCTCAGTCTGGTAGGTAACATTTTAAAATTTCTTTTATTTTTTTTCCACATTTAAACAGTGCTTCTGCTGTAAATAGACCGTTCTCCAGAGGGAGTGCTCTGATATGGCACTCTTACCATTCTTTTCCATGGTGTACATCAACAAAAATGTTTCTTCAAAGCAACTGTCTCTGAGTATGCCTCATACAACCAGATCTCTTGTCTTTGCAGATTTGTCAGGAGCCATCACGCTAAAAAGTTTTTATGCTTTTCTCCAAGTTGTTTGTAAGACTGTTTCTTGTTCACTCTGTTTTCACTTCTTCAGCAGATATTCCAAAAGTTTTAATTTTTAGTTTCTCCTAGTGGTATTATATAATGCTTTGGCTATATTCCCGTGCCCTCTTTTTTTCATCCATATTTTCTATTCTTCTTGACAAGCAACCTAAGTTTTTATTTACCAAACTGTCTGTATTAATTGTGTTGTACATTTCCAAGTTTGTCACCTCTCTCCCAGCAGGCACTACTACTTTGTTGACAGAGCACAGCAGGAGTGTTGTGTCACCAACAATACAGAAATGAGTCCCAGGTCTCGGATCTGGCAAAGGCCCAGGGTGGCACATGTACAGAACAGATGGAACCTTAGAAAGTTGTAGCTACTAAGGTTTAATCAGTTTACTACTGGCTCTGTCAATTCACTTTTTATTAGAAGACTTAGAACTTGCCCATTTTCAACAGAAATTGACAGTAGTGTTATTTCAGCTTTGATGACTTAATTTCTTTTTGATTCTACTCTGTCCAAGAGTAATACTTTTTAAAAGTAGAGCTTATGTTGCAGATGTAAGAACTAATTTTAAGTTGCCATTGACCAATATATATTTTACTTCCATGTACTAAGCAGAATAAATACATTTCTGTAGTTACAGCTATTCACCCCCATTTGTCCATTCTTATTATCATTTAATGATATTTGTAAATACATAATTATTGTGAAAATGGTAAATAAAATGGTATTGACTTCATATTTGATGAGGAAATAAGTTGCTGGATAAGGTTTTTCTTTCCAGTCCTTAATCTGATTTTTCAGGTCCCTTTTAATATTGTCAGAGGTTGTGGTTCTCATTTTCTTAGGCAATATGTACATTTTTTGAAAATTCTCTCTGAATTGGAAGTTCTTCATCCAAAGCACAGACTCACCAGGTTTGTTAAGAATAGATCCAAAAATACAGCAGATTTGAGTATTTTCCCTGAAGCAGAGCTATTTGACTGAAATCATCTTCTGAATTATTTTATATTGGCAGTATAGAAGATGGTAGTCTGGCAATGTTACAAGCACTGAAAAACTGTTGCAATCAAAGAATTTGTTGTGTAACTTTAGAAAAAGATAATGTGGATAACCTCATCTCATCTCAACATTAAATCCTCTCCGGACACAAGTGTTATATCTGACTCTGACTTTCTGGCTCGATTTTCCTCCTGTTCTTAGTAGGACTAAAATCCTATTCAGATTGTTCTGATCTTGTGAGTTGTGGTACTGTGGGCTACAACAGTGATGTGTATGGGCATGCACACTGAGGGTGATAAGTCATATATCAGTAAGCCTAGAACTCTTACAAACAAGCTAGAAAATCTGTAATGCTAAGGACAAGCATAGATAAAAGTCCTACTTTAAAAGTTAAGGTTTCTACTTTAATTACCAGACACTGAAGATTTCTAGTTACAGAAATCTAGCTCTTGTTTAGCAGAGATGGCAAAATTGAAAATAGTGCAAAACGATTTGATAGCAGTGTTTTTCTTGCAGGTGGATAGAAATGGTGCGTTCAAAGTAGTGAACATGTCTTCACTGAAAATAGTGTTAGTGTTTATGTGCTATACAGAAAGCTTGCATCCAAAAAACCTACAAGATTTGGCTGAAAAAAACAATTTGTTTAATGAAGATTTATTTTTAAGTCTTTTAGAAAACTTCCTGAGTTTCAGAATGTGGAAAAGATGTTACTATTAGCTAATACTCAAAAAACCCTGCCAAAAACCACCATATGCAAGGCCTTTATATCAGAGCATTTAGGTTTGCTGATACTATGGCCATGTGCCTCTTGGAATTCAGTTGTTTGTGCATCTGGCCTCCTAAAATATGTCCCAAATATGTGCCCTTCTTCATGTAATCATGTGGCAGTAGGGTTAACATAACTTATTGGTCATTAAAAAAAGTGATATTTGAGCATGGTAGTGTGTTGTGGTGTATATGTCACCTCATGGTATTCTTGGAAAATTGGAGAGCCAAAATGATGTATATGTCACTTTATGGTGGTTTTGGAAAATTGGGAGAGCGAAGGGGAAGGCTGAGAAGATTAAGTCAAAGCTAGTATAAAGCCTTGCAGTGAGAGACACATATATAGGTCCTCCATCCATTAAAAACTTCAAATTACAACTGGCTGTTTTTTGGTAGTTATTCTATAATACAGAAGTATCATTCTCAATACCTTGGAAAGGGTTTGAAATCCTTTGTTTTATGTTATCTTTGGTTCCTTTCTGCTTGTTTTATGTTATCCTTGGTTCCTTTCTGCTTGAATTTTATTTAAAATGTTGTAATGTCTGTGAATGCTAGTTGTGCTGAGCAGTGAATGAGTACACTGCAAAAAATATATCAGCTGTGAATAATTGACATTTAAGATATGGGAGTTGAGTAAATACATATTGACAAAAGCATCAAGAGACAATACGGCATTTTAAGAACTTCAAAATTACTTTTGTCATTGGCATGAGAATGGGGCTTATTGAGTTCTAGATGTGTGTTTTTCTCCTCACTGAGGACAAAATGGGTCTTGCTGGATGAGCTGAATCCTTTCCTCTCCCTGGAAAACTTGACCCAAACATGTCAGGATGATTTTTGCTGCTA